AAGCATCTTGGGGCTTAGAGGCTAGAATTACCTGGATGGTGCCCTGCACCCCCGACGCCCATCAGAGGCTTCATCAAAGTGATGCGTCTTTTCAGTTCTAAAGCCTCACAGAGAGCAACCTGCCAAATTATGGCAAATAAAAGGGATGCCCGGCACGACAGGCCCTTCTTACTTCCTGAACTAAGGAGGAGATGCAGAACAGGAGGGAGGTTTGCAGCACGAGCCCCCGTTGTACACCCAGGTGCAGACATGTGGATGCTCTTGCAAACATGCAGACACGACCCCAAGGGCATCCCCCAGGGCCACACATCCATGCACGGACCCACAACACACACGGCCTAGGCAGGCTCTCAAGGTCCTCTCTGGCAGCCCTCGGCCTGTGAGCCATGAGTCAGTCCAGGAAGGAAGACAAATTAAACCACTCTCATAGTGCCCCTGCACCAAGTCTCTTTCCTGCCAGTACATTTCTTCCCATCACCTGCAAACACTAAGCCTCATCATTGTGAGTACCAGCACCTTTACTCCACCTTGAACATTAAAAAAAAAAAAAAAGCAAACAGCAGTATTGTTTACTATAGAAACAAATTTTGGTAAAGTGGTGAAATCAGGAATCATTTTCCCATTTAGAGGGTCCGTGGGGCCCACTGACTTGACTGCCTTTCCTGCTTTAATTCCGTAGTTCTGTCAAGTCCTGATATTTATGCTAGCTGTTATTAATATCAGGAGCACGGCCACGTTTGCGTAATTAAGACTGCAGCCCGCACTCTCTAAACTTACTGTGAGTCATTAAATCAGCAGGTTATAGTCAAAGTTGCAGTCAAAACAATGCTTATTCATTAATATCTGCTATGCAAATCAGCACCTGATAATCGGGGAGGTGGCTGAACCTGCACTGTGTAACCCCTGCCCCCAGAGGATCAACTGGATTTTAAAAGCTTACGCTTTCCTAGGAAAAGAGAAGCCTTATCTTTCGTTTCACAAGAAGCTTTTAGGATGCAAGATTTAAAGATGTGCCTGTATGCATTTAATGTCTATTTTATTTTCAATTACACTCTGCAGTGGATCTGAATACCTCACGTTATCTATAGATTGCGTGATATCGAGGGGCACTTGAAAGCGAGTTTTTCTGAGTCTATTTGATTTGAGAGTCTTCTTTTCATCTATTGGCAGAGTGGTTCTCCCCAGCCCCCACCCCAGCCCCTTTTTAATAGGAAAACTTGGTTGTTGATTTCCATCCGTGCAATGACTGCTGCCCAGCAGGCACTGGGGTGTGATGACCCAGATGGGGGGGCGTGGACAGCGGCCTGAGGTCCTCGCTAAGCACCCCAGGTCCTTGTCCCCTCTGCCAGGATGCGGGCCCCGAAGCTGCTTTGTGCACGCAGAGGAAAGGTGTAGGAATGTCCTTGCTCGCTGGCATTTAATTTACCAGTTGCCTCTGAGCTGGGGCTTTGGCAGATTCTGCTGGAATCTGAAAGACAGCCTGTCATACCGAGGGCCTGCTGCCGACGACTGAAATTGAGAAACTTGGCAGAAAGGCAAACAGTAACTGGGTTTGAGTTGTTTTGATTACAAGTTAAACAGAGAGTCATTGGCAGGGCCAGCGTGTATCTGCTGGGGCTCTCACTCCTCTTTTTCTCTTTCTCCCCCTTGGCAAAATGAAGGGACTGGCTGGTAATCTCTGCAGTGTCCACTAACGCCTTGGCTTTGCCCAGCCGGGGTTTTCGTGGGATGAGAATAAAGGGTCAGTCTCTCGTGCTCGACTCGCGTGTTCCGCCGTGTTCAGAACGGGGTTGATCACATCCCATGTCCTGGATTCCGAGCTTTCGGCACATTCAGAATTTGCCCTCTAGGTGGTCTTCCACGACAGGGGCCCAGGAGGCTGGAAATCCCACATTATTTATTGAGAGCTGCGTGGAGGGTTTTCAGATCTAAGAACTACTGGAGAGGGCTTTTTAAAATAAACCTTGTTTCAGATGTTTGCCAGGAGAGACATTTGAGAGAAGGGGAGGAGTCTGCTGTAGATATGTTTCACATGTTTGGGTCAATGAACATGTACTCGTGGGACGGGTGCCTCCCTGGCGCCTGTACGTGGGGAAAGAAGAAAGAAAGAAATGTATGAAGCCTCCACTGGCATGGTGGAAGGGAGGGAAAGTCACCAGCCTTTCCTGTTATCAGACGCTTCCGTGCATCTCAACCCGGGGTAGCGGGTTTTTCTTTCGGACGGGTTTTTCTTTCTTCACACTCCGTCTTAATGTGGGCGACGTCAAATTGTTACTATTGTTACTGCCATTAACTCGGACTGGCTGGCTGGAGGCAGATTTCAGAGAGAGAGAGAGAGAGCGAGGCTGTTTCACGTGGCAGCAAACAGTTGATCTCCAGAAATGAGACTCTTCCCTCCTTCTGCCCCACCCCCCACCCCACCGAGTGGAAAGCTGAAACTTGGAAAATTATGACAGAGTTCTTGGAAAGAGCCCAGATATATCAAATCAGACTTTTTTTTTTTTATCCGCCAATGTGACCGTAAAAAAAAACTTTATTGAAAAGCATTAAAAAAAAAAAACACTGGGCTGAGTAATGTATCTAAAGAAACTGAGTTCTGAAAGGACCTCATTTGGACAAAGTTAATTACTGCACAATAATTGCATTTTAAATTCAGTTTCTTTCTAGGCGCAGTAAATTGTAAAGCTCATGATGAAGGAAAAAAAGTAGGTTCCTGTGCTTGCAACTTGTTAATTGCCTTTGTCAGAAACTGACATCCACTTCCTCTCTCCTTGAAGAAATCAAACTTTCTCCAGGCCCTGGAGACTAGGAGCTGCCGGGAGCCTCAGGACCAGAGCCCATGCTGGTGAGGGCAGGTGTGTGGCCAGCATCACAGCGTAGCCATGAGTGTGTGCCAAGTGGATTGGACATCAAAGGGAAGAGCATTCAGACTGAGTTGAGTGGAACCTCTTTGTCACTCTCTTTGAGATGAACTCTGTCGTGTGATCCTCCCAGTGTGTTAGCTATCATTTAAAGCTTCTGTTGTTTCTAACTTTTAAAATTACAATATATGTATAACATACAATTTTCCATCTTAAGCAGTTTTAAATGTGCAATTCAGTGTCATGAATGATGTCATGGATGCCATCTCGGGCAACCATCATTATCTGCTTCCAAAATTTTTCTTTATACCGAACAGAAATTCTGTACCCTGTTGAGCAGTAGCTTCCCATTCCCCTGTGCCTCTGGTACTCTCCAGTCTACTTTGTCTATGAATTTGCCTTTTCCAGATATTTCAAGTAAGTGGAATCATAGCCAATTTGTCCTTTTGTGTCTGGCTTATTTCACTTAGCCTAATGTTTTCAAGGACTTCCCTGACGGCTCAGTGGTAAAGAATCTGTCTGCAATGCAGGAGATGTGCGTTCTAGCCCTGGGTCGAGAAGGTCCTTTGGAGAAGGAAATGGCAACCCACTCCAGTATTCTTGCCTGGGAAATCTCATGAACAGAGAAGTCTGGTGGGCTACAGTCCATGGGACCTCAAAGAGTCGGAAACAATTTAGCGACTGAACGACAACAACAAAAATATTTTTAAGGTTCATCCTTGTCATTACCTGTATCAGAATTTCATTTGGTTTTACAGCAGAATAGTTTTCCATTGTGTGGAGAGATTACATTCAGTTTATCCGTTCATCCATTGATGGACACTTGCACGATTTCCACCTTTTGGCTGTTGTGAGTAGTGGTGCTGTGAACACGTGTGTACAAGCATCTGTGTAAGTCCCCGTTTTTAATTCTTTGGTGTTTATAGCTAGGAGTGGAATTTGCTGGGTTACATGGCAATTCTTGGTTTAACTTTGTGAAGAAACTTACAGTCTTCTTTTATAGGAGAGGAAATTGGGACTTAGAGAGGTTGGTCTGTTACACGTCAGTGGCCAGTTACAGAGCTAGGATTTCACCTGAGATTTGCTGGTGTGAAAGCTCAGATTCTTTCTGTCATACTTCCTCCTCAAAGGTCAGTGTTCAATTTTGACCCTCAAGAAGACTCCCATCAATTGCAAGGTGGGATGTTCACCTGGGAAGCAGCTGTCCTGTGACAGGTAGATTGTTGGACTGAGAATCCTGGTCCTCCTGGGCATTTCTAGACCCATTCAGGTAAGTCATCTGAACAATGTGAGCCTTCATTCAAGGAGATATGGATGTCCTTTATTGGTGGCATTATTATACACAGCACATGCCAAGCTTTAAGTAACTGGTCCAGAAAGACCACATTGATGCCGTTTAATTTTGGTAGGGGGAGTGCAAGGGGACTCAGGACTACCAGTGAATTAAAGTGATCTGGGGGCTTCCAACATTTTTTTCATCTTTTCCCGAGTCCCTGGTGTTACTCTTCTTTCTCTTGAGCACAAATCCCAGTCGTCACTGCAGAGCATCTATCCTTCTGTCCTTGTCTGTGTTTCCCCTCTGTGTGTTGAGCGGGAGTGATCCGAGCACACGGCATTTTGGGTCTGTGTATACAGACAACTAGAGACCATGCATTTCATAACTAATGTCCTAAGTGCTTAAAAGTTCTTTCCTTGCAGATTTAACATGCAAAGGGTCCAGGTAGATGAATTTTATGGGCTCTTTTTATGGGGGTAACGTTTCAAAAGCCTGCTTCTGGGTCAGTTTCATTAGATTTCATGGACAACTGGTTTAAGGCAGAAATTTGGTCTGATTTTTAAAAATTTTACTATACTCACTTGCGAAACTGGTCTTTTTGTTTTTTCAGTTCAGGATTTTCTACAATTGCTATTTTTAGCCCTTTCAAGGTCCATATTAGCCAAGGCAAAAATTTTTTTTGACTCCTCACCCAGAACTCTCAGAACTGCTATTAAAATAGATTGGCCCAACCAAATCCATCCTTTTCAGGAAGTAAAATTAAAAACACAGCTCATTTTTATATGCATGTGCATGCTTAGTTGCTCAGTCCTGTTTGACTCTTTGAGACCCCATGGACTGTAGCCCGCCAGGCTCCTCTGTCCATGGGACTCTCCAGGCAAGAATACTGGAGTGGGTTGCCACGCCCTCCTCCAGGGGATCTTTCTGACCCAAGGATGGAACCTGAGTCTCTTACTTCTCCTGCAATGGCAGGTGAGTTCTTTACCAGTAGCATCACCTGGGAAGCCCCATTTTTTTTTGAGGTGATATTAAACATTGTGAATCCCTGGGGGCCATTGTATTTGAATGCTGAGGACTCCTCCACCCCCCCCCCCCCCATTTTTTCTGAGAGTTAAAAACCTCTGTTAAATGTGCATTTCTTTCAATTGGGGTAACCGTCTTTATTATATGAAATTCAAATCACTTTTCTCAGTTTTGTTATTTTTGGGGGGGTTGTTTTTTTTCCAGTCCATTTCCTCTGTGGCCTTTGCCCCGACTAAAAATGAATTCTTAATTTCCTTCCTTAACTGGAGGGTTACCAACCTGCTCCAGTTGGCCTGGGAATTTCCCAGTTTTGGTGTTGGAAGTCTCATGACTTAGTTCCCAAGCAGACTGGAATGGTTGGTCTTTCTACCCTTCATCCCTCTTCCCGACATTTAAATACTTGAATTATTCCTCCCAGATTGATTGGGAGGCAGGTTTGACTAACATGTCGGTGGACTGGTTAAACTGTTATGTATGAGGACAGCACGTTATTTCCAGCGTGTGTGTGTTCTGACACTCAGTCTGAGTGGACTGTAGCCCGCCAGGCTCCTCTGTCCATGGGATTTCCCAGGGAGAAATACTGGAGCAGGTTGCCAGTCTCCATATCCGGGCTTCCCTGGTAGCTCAGATAGTAAAGAACCTGCCTGCGATGCAGGGGACCCGGGTTCAATTCTTGGGTCAGAAAGATCCTCTGGAGAAGGGATAGGCTGCCCACTCCAGTATTCTTGGGCTTCCCTGGTGGGGAAGATGGTAAAGAATCTGCCTGTAGTGTGGGAGACCTGGGTTCTATCCCTGGGTTGGGAAGAATCCCTGGAGAAAGGAGCAACTACCCACTCCAGTATTCTGGCCTGGAGAATTCCATGAACAGAGGAGCCTGGCAGGCTACAGTCCGTGGGGTTGCAAAGAGTCAGACACGGCTGAATAATTTTCACTCACTCCCCATGTCCAGCATAAAGTCACAGCCCATGCCAATATGGTTCTGATATATTAATAATAGTGGGGGCTTCCTGTTATTGATCTGCCTGAAGGCATGTGCTTACCTGTGTCTGCGCCTTATTCTTTGGATATATTCACCATGAGCCTCATAGATCCTAACGTGGTCGTGTGCTTGTATGATAGAGTATGTTCGTGTGTGTTTGAGTGCCTGCATTATAGCAACATTATCCCATGTTCATAAGCCAGACACAGCATGGGAATGAACCCTGTACAGTTGTTGATCCAATTCTGTGAGTCTCAGTACCTGGACTGTTTAACCGTTTTTCTTTTTTCTTCAAATGTGCCAAGAGGCTAGTCAGATAGTAAAGGATCTGCCTGTAATGCAGGAGACCCTGGTTCGATTCCTGGCTAGGGAAGATCCCCTGGAGATTGGATAGGCTATCCACTCCAGTATTCTAGGGCTTTCCAGATGGCTCAGATGTTAAAGAATTTGCCTGCAATGTGGGAGACCTGGGTTTGATCCCTGAGTTGGGAAGAATCCCCTGGAGAAGGGAAAGGCTACCCACTCCAGTATTCTGGCCTGGGGAATTCCATGAATAGAGGAGCCTGGACTAACAGCCTGCAAAATTGCTTTTGGCAAAATGAAGGCCCTTAAGACTTTATAAATTCATAGGAATGTACATTCAAAATACATCGACATTTACATGCCTATTGACCTGCTTGTTACAGGCTTTGTAAAAAATATTTACTAAGGGTGTTAAATTTCTCCTCCTTTAAAACTGTGGAAATATTTTGATTTGAAAAAGTGGATTTGCAATCATAGCATCGAAAACAAAATAACAAAAACAAAAAACTCCCAAACCATCCAGGCTCTTGCAATAAAGAAGGGCACTGGGAGAAAAAGAGAGATTCAAAGTGTAAAAGAATGATGATTTCCTTAGTGGCAATAAAACTGCATGAATTAGGGGTAAGTACGTTCTGAGTGATTTATAACACTTGAAATTTATTTTAAAAATGGTTTCGTGTAAGGAAATAACAAAAGCTGGTTGTTATTCATAGAATGGATAAAAGAACATGAATCTAAATATGGATCTTAACAGCTGTCTCTTAAAAGGATCTTATTATACCATTTATTTAAATTATTTCCTTAAATTTTTCTTTTAGACAGTGCACTTAATCCTGCAAAGTGGCATTATATATTTGTTTATATTTTAACTTCATTACTGTTCTCCCCCTTCAGTTTCTCTGTTGGTATAACTCTTGGTCTCAACTTAGCAATAAAGTATTTAATAACTGCACTTATTTTCACTTGCCTTATATTATTAACTCTTTGTAACAGTACAAAGACCATTGATTTAGAAGGGATTTATTATTCTGAGGCTAAAAATACCTTGTTAAATCACATAAACTTAGCATTATATATTTTTCCTCAAATGAAAAAAAAGTCAGACTTTATTAGAAAGCCAGCCTAAATGGATGTCACCTTTGGTTTTAAAAGCATTAAAATTGGCTATAATGCCTCTCCAACTCATTTAACATTTATGTACACTTGGAGGATGAATAGTTAGAAAGCAATAGAACACCTTGTTATAAAATACACTTATGTCATTATGATTAGAAAGAAAAGCAAGGCACCGTATTTGGAATATTAACTGATGTGGAACAGAGAGTGATATATTTTTCATGAATTAAAAGCTGAATCAAGTAAATTGAATTTATTTCCAGCTACTGTCTAGATTTGAAAGCTCAATGTCATTGATAACTATAGGAAGAACTCTCCTGGTGGGACTGCGTGTGTTTCAAAAATGAGAGTTGGTGGTATCCTGTGATGCCTTTGACCCCATGTATCGACAAGCCTGACATTTGTCTGATTTTACTTCCCTGGCATGGAGCGGTACCCTAGGACTGGCCTTGGGTTCAAATACTCAGCTATATCTTTAATTTTCTCTGAAGAAGACTCAACTCATGAAGTTTGATTTCACCTGTAAGATGGGGTTGATAATGCAGTGGGTCCGAGACAGGTATGCCAATATGAATTACACAGATTTAGAAAGTTTCATAGGAAATGTGATTAGGGTTCACTGTATCTCAATTTGAGAAACTGTGAATCAGAAAAAATTTGAAATGAAAAGTAAGGGATTTTGAATTTGTTCCAGGAGAATCGCACACCGGAGGTTGTGGTAGCAACATCACACCCGCTTCTTAATCTGCAAAATTGACCCATTTGCTCTCCTTTGTCAGGATTAGCCACTGGGTGTGAGTTTTGAATTAGGTAAATTCCTTAGGAATGAGGACCTGCAGATATACCTCGGGGAACGTGAAAAAGCCCTGTATTGGCAAGAATGGTTGTGAAACGGTTTGGGCATTCCTGGCACCCCACAGGATCACGTGCAGCCAGCATTTTCCAGGGACACTGAACAGTTGTAACCTTAGGAACCAGTGCCTTGGTTTCCCTGTGGAGAAAACGCAGGGTTTCTCTTCTCATCCAGCAGTCACATAGAGGCTGTTTCATTTCAAAGGTCAAGAATCCTGCTGTTGACTTAGGCTGTGGGTCTAGGAGCAGAGTGCAAAGAACATTCTGATCTCAGCAGCGCACCAGAATAAATGAATGAATGATTCTCCTCCATTTTCATTATCCTTATTTGTACAGTTATCTGATCTTAGTGATAATTGTGCATGCTCAATTGCTCAGTCGTGTCTGACTTTGTGACCCCATGGACTGTAGCCCTCCAAGCTCCTCTGTCCATGGGGTTCTCCAGGTAAGAATACTGGAGTGGGTTGCCATTTCCTGCTCCAGGGAATCTTCCCGACCCAGGGAAGGAACACGGATCTTCCCGACCCAGGGATGGAACACGGATCTCCTGTGTCTCTTGCATTGTCATATGGATTCTCTAACTGCTGTGCCACCTGGGAAGCCTAGATAATAATTAATTTTTAAAAAAGCTTAAAAATTAAAACATGAATGTTTCCCAAAGTCTAGCTTCTAACTGCTTTCTTAAAAATTAATAAAATGGTTCATAATGCCTTTCACAGAAATTGCACAAATAAAATCAAGTTTCTTCAGGTTGGAAAGAATCAATTTCAGTTAAAGATAATTAATGAACATTCTAAGAAGAAATCTAATTGATTGGAATTTGGGGGAAAATATGACATATCTAAGATGTATTTCCAGAATCAAATTTCATAACTTGATCTTCATCATCCTGTGCCCAGATACCTGAAAACGAGATTTCTGGCCTGAAATTCAGGATGGATCTCGATGTGCTGACTCTATCTAGTTTTCTAGGCAGAAACATCCAGAAGCTGAAAATTTCAGGGTTCGTGAAGTCAGAAGCCTGAGGTTGGGTTGGAGGAGGTGAGGACTTTTACAAGAATAGGTGAAACAAAATTGTAGACACACATTTGGGCGGTATGTTTTGTGTGTGTGTGTATGTGATATATGTTTTGAGAGAGAGAAAGAGAGGAAACACTCCAGACCTTGGGAATAAAATTGTTTACAAATCTGTGCCCTGCAAATATTCTTTATTGTAAAAAATGTTTCCAGGCTTTGCCTGATATCGATGTAAGTTCCTTCTTGTCATTAGAACCCTTGTCTTCATCTATGATGTGTTAGATTATCTCCGAATGTTAATACTTGGTATATCACAGAAAAAAAGACTCGGAAAGTATTTATAAAGTAAATAAGATTTAATTAAATATCATCATCAAGCATTAATCATTAGAGCGCTGCTCCCTATGGAAATCAGGGTGGATATTCAATTTGTTTTGATTATGTATGAATTTTAGCAGAAGCCCTGCTTGTTGCTGCGATACTCATGGAGGAGCCCTCGTCCTTCTCTGTCCAGAATCCGAGAAAGAGGGCGCCTTCTGCTTTGCTTCAGAATGAGAATCAGGCCATTTGTATTGTGTACAGTGTCGTGATAAATATTTGGGGAAACAGAAATAATCTCTATACACAAGTACTGCCGTCAGAGATGGAGGGAGTTCTGTCTCAGTCCACACTTCCACACATA